AATTGAACGAACAACAAAATTACCTAAATATTTCCAAAAAGTCTTAAAAAAGTCTGAAGTAAAACCGTCAGACCCAGGACTTTTATTATTTTTCATGTCTTTCAATGTTTTCCCTGCTTCCCCCAATGTTATTCTACCCTCTAAACTGCTAGACTCAACATCATTTAACTTTGGAATATTACAGTCACGAAGATGAACATCTAAATCAGTATTGTCAACATCCCTATGTCTATATAAGTCTGCATAAAATGATTGCACTTGTGGAATAACTTTGGAAATAAAGTTTCTCTTTTCCAAATTAAAAAAATAAGATGTAGGTTTCTCTCCCTCATCTATCCATTTTGCTCTTGATCTAATAATACTACCTCTGATTTTTTTCAAACGTATACATTCTGGCTCCCTTTTCTTATCTCCTAATTCTTCCTGGTCTGGGTTTATACTATCTTCTAAAACTTCTATAATTTTCTTAAGGTCTTCTTCAGGTCCTCTTCTTTCAAGTTCTGTTGCTTGTTCCTGTAAGATGCGTAAGATATAGATTTGCCTCTAATTTCCATTAACAATGTTTCTAAAAATAGTTGATCATTAAAAAATGAATATCACTATTGGGAATAAGTGATAATGAGTTAAAATTATACACTGGAAGACAATATTGTAACTTCATGTTCTCGATGCAATTTTTTACCATATCTAAATATTCATGTTCCAGTAATAAAGAATTGTTCAGTTTCCATAAGCCTTTCCCTATCTTAAATTAATTAATTTTAAAAGTTATAACTGGGGCTGAATGATCTGATCTGTAACCCGGTTCAATACTTGATTTTTTTTTATACTGGATAAAAGGTTGTCTGAAATAAGGAAAAAATCTAATCTGGCCTGTTTTATTGGATTACTTCTCCGCCAAGTAAATCTCTTGGTATCCTGGTGATGCTCCCTGTATATGTCAATAACATTATAATTTTCAATAAGTTCTAAAACCTTGTTTCTAGCAGCAACATTGTTAATATTTCTGTATGAACGATCATAATCTAACTCTGGGTTCAATACTAAGTTAAAATCCCCACATATAATCCTATTATCATTCCCAAAACTATCAGTAGTATCTGAAACAATGTTATAAAAATCTGGGTTGTCTTGATTTGGGCCGGACAGAGTAATAAGTGTTGTTCTGGAACCCTCAATGGTAATATCAAGTGCAAGGAAATTTCCATTCAAGTCTTTCTTTGTGCACTTTACTTTCAACGTTAGAATTTAAAAGTATAGCGATACCACGTGAATTTGAATTAAAAGAACTAAAATAACTGTCATATTCCCACTCATTTCTTATGTTATTTTCCTGATCTAGTGTAAAATGGGTGTCCTGCAAACAATAAATATGATACTCCTTGTCTCTTAGATACGCAAACACGTGTTTTCTCTTTACTCTATCTCCAAGGCCCTGGCAGTTAGCCGAAAGCACACTGATATCGTTCATGTTATTTCCGAGTTTGCACATGATAAAAGTAAGATTGAACCCCCAAATGGACAGGCAGATAAAGAGGAAGTAAAGGGAAAGACCGGTTTACACAAAAGCATATCTATAAAGTCAAGATAAATAAAACTACCACCAACACTTACAGGACTCGCAAGTCACTGCACCTAACCCTCAAATTTTCTAATACTGGAAATGATCCTATGCCGGAAGTTACTACAGTGTAGTTAAGACTAAACCGAAAATAGCTCTATAATCCGGAGACGTCAATGGTAAAATTAGAGCAACTCTTATTACTCGTTTCCGAAATAAATGTTAATAATAATATTGATGAAAACTAGAAAGTGAGTACAAGCAAGACATACGCAACCAACATAGCATTTTATAAGCGTAAATAGCATTACTCCATACTTCGCTACAGTTAGCGTGATCACTAAAGTCGAACAAAAGATATTTTTAGCCAAAACATACTATAGCTGCTTACCTGTATGTTAGAATTTTATAGGTCCAATATTACATCCATTTCCACGCTGAATAACTTTCACAATATAAAAGAAACCGGAGACACACACACATATATATATAGATATAATTAAGCATAGCGCGCATATTTACGTTTTCTCTGCCTCTTATGTTCTTTTTTTACTTATAATTTATAATTAAAATAAAAAATGCCCGCCTTATCGACAGTCCACACAATTTCGTTCAGTTTGAACAGCGTATTGTCGCGTGCTGATTGGCAAACAAAGTAGTACTTTGACATTTTAACAAACACTTCAAATTTATTCCACAATTTAGTATCAATACAATTGCGTATGATATGTCTATAAAGTGATTCCAGTTTTTCAATAGAAATCTGAGCTGGAAGTTGGATTTGAAATTGTTTTGATTTTCCCCCGGAACAAATTTCGCGCATGGATAAATACAGTGAACACCGTGAATGGGACCTTGACCTCCACGAGGGAGTTATTTTTGGAAGTTAATTCGAACTTTTCTCTCTGCTCATTTTGTGAACAATCCAGGCGTGAATGTATTTGTTGATTGTATGGGAACCCGACAACAGTCAGTAGATTCTATAACAGCATCGTTATTTGACATGTCATCTGAAACTGAGGAACCGTGGATCCGAAACGCGTGAAAGATAGAGATTGGAGTGAGTGATCTTGCGACGGAGCACAGATTCGTTACAAATGTCTGAAATTACGCATGTTTATGTGTGCTGTGACTCATATCAGTAGGTCTGTAACATATGTGTCAGTAGGTCTATAGAATATGTGTATTTCAGACATTTGTCACGAACCACGTTGATCAGTGCAGTGTAACAGACGATATTTCTGATAAATTGAATGAGCGTTAAAATTGTTTCCATTGCCGGCATTGGTGATTTCAACAGATGTGCATTTTGTACGATATTGCAGACCTTGGTCTTGTTTCCGTTGTAATAAAAGTGTTTTTATTTTATTTTTTATTTTGCACATAAATCTCACAATGCCCAGCGATATTTCAGCAGCCGTCGTGTTTATTTACATTGGGTATTGTAGTTCCGGTCAGTGTTGTAATTAATACGCTAAGAATTGTGTCTCGTGTAGCATGGTAATTATGTCTCGTGCGGCATGGTTATTAAAGTCCCATCAACGACACAGCTTTCAAAGAGGCTATATAGTGACAATGCCATGCAAATGTAAATATACAAGTATACACCAACACTTTAGTACTGTCACATATATATAGGCGGATCGGTAACCAGAAAAATACACTGGCGAAATGTCCGTACCGATCACATATTGCCTATATTCTATCAATTTTTCCTAGACATAAAGTTGGCATCGTTCAACAGAAAACTTTCCTCGAGTGGCATTTCAAATGCAAGTCTACGTTTCTTTCCGTTGTTGAGTATAAGAAAAAGTTTACCATCAACACTAAACGAGTTCTTTACGCACTCCATGTGATAGGTCTCCTTGAGTCTCTGTTGGTTGAAGCGCGTCAAATCTTCAAAAATGACAAAGCCGGTTTTTTTGAGGTTCCTACGGGCATGTAAAATCTCCAGCTTCTTTCTTCGGTGAGTGAACTTTACAATGACGTTTCTAGGCTTGGTTCCATTGTATTTCCCCAATCTATGAGCTATGTCTATATCACTCGCCTGTAGTGGAATTTTAAGAGTATCTCTTACAAACCCTACTGTCCTCTGGACACAGTCCTCCACCGATTCTCTCTCACCAGAGTCCTTTAGTCCAGCAATTCTCACAGAATTTTTCCGGACCTGTTGCTCGAGGTCATTATGTCTCCCTGCGAACTCATAATGTCGATCTTTAGCACTCTCGATTTCCTCCTCTAGTTTGGTCATTGTTCTCATTCTCGTTTTCCAGATATCTCACTCTGTCTTCCAGTGTTTCGATACGTTTGGCATGTTCTCTATTAATGTCAATCTTCAGCTTCTCTAGCTTCCTATCAAGAACATCCTCAGTAATAAGTGACTTTAAAATCACGGATATCTCATCAAGCCGGTCATCCGTCGATTTCAAACATCCGATACCACTGGTCCTATTACTACTGACACTGGCGCTCTGTCCACGTTGAGGTTTATTACTGGCTGGCATGATGAAAAAAATATTGCTAAATAATAGCAGAGAATCCCAAAAGTATCACTTCAATCTCTCCGATATAATACAAGTCCGGTATATATAGCGTATACACAGCTCTGTCAGGTACAGGAAAGTGGTGAGTAGTAGTCAGCCGCGAAGCTCAGTCCATTATTTCGACCATTTACTTCAAAAAAGACTATTTTCTGAAGAAAATTCAATTAGGTCTGCACACAAATGGATAGTTGAACGATATATCTAACCCATTTCCCAAAAAATGTATTTCACAATACGGTGTTGACTTTGGAAAAAGTATGTTTTCTCGGAGCTCTGTTACAATCGACTGACTAGGTCCTCGTGACGTTGACTATTTGTTTTTAACTGTTTGGATATCTATGTCATGTTATCTTTTCTTTATCTATTACAAAGAACACCAATTGGCATTCCAGATGCCTTTTGTTCTCATATTCCTCTAATTGCAAAAACATATCTCCAAAGGTTAACCTACGTTAATGTGTCATTAACAGCTTTTGCAAAACGGCGCATGTTGGTACTAATCCTGCATTCGGGTAACAGTTGACATGATTATTACAGTTGCAGTTTTATTATCCATGTGCGCCGTTGTGCCAACCTGATTAAGATTGAAACATTGCCAGTCCTGTGCGACGTCAAACTTGCTTTTCCTTCTCCCTTAACGTTTTTATGCAGGAAACACACCGTCCTTTTTTTTAATATTCATTTTCGTAAAAAAATCAAGGTAGCTGTTTACGTTTTCATCACAAAAGCACGACCAAGAGTAAGATGGTATTTTTCACTCATATACAATCCAGCTGTTTGATAAAGAGCCCCGCCCTTTAATTTGGACGATCGTTATTTTGTGATTTCATTTTTGTAACAAAAAGCCAGTTTAAACTTACAATCCTATTAATACTGTGTATTTTACTTTGTTGCAGAGAATCTGCCAATCTCATACTGTGAGTCGTGGATGAAAAGGTTATTAGGGTACACTGACTCCAGGCCGCTACACGTGTCCAGGGTATTAGCCATCAATGAGACCATTCATATCCCATGCTATTACTGGTGATTGGCATTTGTATTGTTTACGACCAATCAAAATCTAAGTCGTTTAGGGCCAAACAATGCTATAAAAACAGACGGTAACCATAAGAAATATATTAAAACAATTATTATGTAAGATTATTAATGGTAGATCAAAAATATAGCCACTGTATGAAACCTTTTTTGCATAGTATGTACATTATTTGATTAATCACACGTTCCATTAAAACATCGCTTTATTTAATCATAAAGTGTTGTATAATAACTTTTGAACGAAATCGTAAGATTTATCACATGACAAGAAAGCTCTGCTTCCTTTTATAAGATGTGAGCATATGTAATGTAGGGATGGTATTTGCACAATCGCAAGAATACAACTGTTCTTTAATAACTGGTAAGTGAACAGGACTAAATTTATAAAACCAACAACAACAACAACAACAACAACAACAACAACAAATGAACACAAACAACGATGAAACAGAACTGCCATCAAAACAGGGTATATCGTTTCTGTTGAACCGAGATGTCACTTAAAACATGCATAAAAGATTGAATTTCCTTTTGCTCAGTGGTAGAGCATCGGCCTTTAAAAAAAAGGATCGCGGGTTCGATACCAAACGACGGCACTATCTTTATCACTATTCCTCGTCCTACTACAAACTGGTGCCGTTGACTCTCCCCGCTCAAGGTAGGAGAACCGTTGGCGGGGAGTCAAAGAACCTAGGTTGGTGTTTGAAAAAAGGGGGGAGGGGGTAGTGTAAAAGATGTTCATTGATTAGGTTGCCTTACAAGCGTCAGCTGTAGGAAATTCAGCTCAGCGGTAGAGCATTGGGTTGGAGAGCCAAGAGTCGCGGTTTCGAGCCCCAAGCGACGGCACTATCCTTATCACTATTCCGCGTCCTACTAAACACATATATATATATAACACAAACACTGAACTGAGGCAACATTGAAACAAATGAAATAACACAAAATTAAAAGCATGGTAAACCAGCCATGCAAGAGGTATAACTTAGAGGACGGAACTTATGTAATACTAACACATTTGGAGATAATACAAGGATATAACTGAAGTGACATTGAAACATGCGACAAGAGCACAAAAAGGGAACTGAAGTTAAAAAACATGGACATGGACATGTTTAACAAGGAAGTTCCTGTTGGAAATTAAAACATGGAGAAATCATACGGTGATAGAAATGAAGTAACATCAAAACATGAGGCAAAACACAAGTATTAGTCTGAGGCAAAAGCTGACACAGCTGATCATTGTACCACTTTGAATTTTTGAACTATTTTAAACTGCTTTTATATATATATATAGCTGTTGACCTTTCGTTGTTCTTTTTATTAAGTGGAGGTCCGGAAATATTAAATCTCCTTCCGAAATTAGGACATTACCGTGAATGGTTTAAACTCGCCCGGAACCAATCTGACGCCTACTGGAGACTGAGGCCTGTTGTGGGGGACAAAAAGTTCGGGAGTAGGGCTAACATCATATCAAACTTTACCCTCATTATCAGGAACATACAGGAAAGTAAGTCATCGATTTAAACTTTAAACAATTTTGTTTTAATATAAGAATATATTTAAATTTCCGCTGCAAGTCCGTAAAGCAACACTTCTAGAAGAAGTTGTATTCATAGTGCTATGACTGAGATTGGATCATCGTCGTTTTGACGCTTACAAGACATTCTATAGGGACCGCAGAACCAAATGATTTTCCAAAGACGATAGTGTTAACGTTTACCACTGTCCTGGTTAAATGGGGTTATCCACACTGGTTCACCTGCCCTCATTTTGAAAAATGTCTTCTCGCACACATGTAAAAATAAAATTAAAATTGACCAAAACTTACAAAAAAATACACACTTAATAAACTCCACCGGGCAAAAACAGACTTGAAAGAAAAAAAAAGTTTTTATACATTTCACATCTATAAATATTGCTCAGCCCACACATAAAACTTTTGAAACTTCTGCCACCTAAATATTCAACCAGCAGGCCCCGAGGCATTCACCTTCCTATCAAATCTTCTGCCCAAAAATTTGGTCCGTGGTCCCTATAATGTGACATAATTGTAAGATGCACACATTTAGATGACCCTAGGCTGTTTCGAGAATGTCGTTAGAAATGAAAATACGGAAACTTCAATATCGGAAATATGATGTAAACTTTTGTTTACAAAACAAATCATTGATAATTTAAAATGAAAATAACATTGTGCCGATGTGAACGCCAACGCATTGGTAAGTTGCGTCCATATTTATCTATTGCTATACTCCTTACTATTTTACCTTTACCAGTTATCCTCTAATTGATATGATTAAGGGTTTCGTGCACCTCCCCTTCTATTCCAACGGTTAGTTAGACTGAATTGGATTAGGACTATTTTGGCCCCCCGGCATCGTCAATGAGTCCCATTAGGACGAAACAGCTGATCGTCGCGTTCTCATTCATTCGGCACACTTTCATTATCTATGACAAATTTTACAGAGGTGCAATCTATGAAATATGTGTATGCTACTTTAACCTTCATGACGTTATAGTAATTGCTTATATCTTTGACTCGTTTCACTTCATGAGTGAGTTATTAACGAAAAGTTGATGACTTTTGCTATGAAAGGAAAATAAGAAATGCCGATTTATCCCTTTGATAAGAAACAAGAGCGAATGTTAGCGGAAGAATACCTTTATTTGTGTGGAGGAAAACCGGAGCACTCAGAGAAAGACCACCGAACTGCAGTCAGTACGTGGCGACTGTTCCACACAGACAGTGAACCCGCGACCCAGTGTTGAAGGGCTAGTATTCATATATGTCAGACTCTTTTACCACTCGGCCCGTCTGTTATACTAGAAACAATGATCGAAAACAAAATTTACGTGAAGTATTTTTTTTTAACTCAGTAAACCTGAAATTGCTACAATTTTCTGTGTTTTGAATAATTACAGGGGATACGGGAATGTATTACTGCGCAGTATCGAAAATAAAGCATTCGGAATATAGGTTTAATGACAAACAGCTAAAAACATTTCTCACTGAAAAAGACCCAAACCGTTTCAAACTGTACCTTCACATTGACGGTAAGTGTGATTCACCAACCACTTTCTGCCTTTCTGTCCACGATCAATTTGTTTAGGCCAATACAATGTCAAACGTCGCCCTAATGTTTCTTGCGTTACTTTGTCTTAGGAAAAGAAAATTTGAGACATAGGAGATCTTGATACATTTATCTTTGTCTGTAGTAAACCAAACTAATACATAAACCATCTGCTGAAGAATCGAGTATTTTGTTCGAAGTTTCCATCAAAGGAACAATGATAAAAGCAGGAGTGAAATGCTACCCATTGCTGCGAAGCTTATGTCCATCTCTGACCCTTCCAAAGTGTTTTGCCGAAATAATTTATATGATATGAGACCGAGTCATGCAAATACATTAGGCATTTCCTGAACAAACCAATCCTTAACTAGTAAGTTGTTAAATGATTCAGTGTCATAATAATAATGTAAAGTTTCTATTATTTGTAAAAGATTTCTATTTATGCAATATATATTAGAACTAATCTTTTAATGTATTTCTTTACAT